AGAATTTACAATGAAGAGATTTCCTTTGTGCGCTACATAGCAGCATAAAGTAAAAAGTAGTAGTGAGCACAAATTCTATGCAGAATAGTTGTACAGTGGCAACCCAAAACCCCAACAGTAAAAAGGACAAATCAACAACAACAACAACAACAACAACAAAAAAGCATGGCTCAATCTGCAAAATGTTACTGGCAAAAACTGACATAATCAAAGAGTGACACTGGTACTAGGTCCTCGCAGCAGCAAGAAATATGCAAAGCTGTGAGACTGGATGTAAATCAATTAAGAATGGATGTAAGTAGAATCAGTTGGGATAAGAAAGGTATCTTACAAAGGGTCCCCATACTTTTTCAAATCTCCCCCCTTGATTCTGAACAGAATGCCTGATCTTTTCCAGGCTTAGGCAAGACCTCACATCTGATAGCCATTGATCATAGGTTGGGAGGGCAGCATCCTTCCATCTGAGCAGAATGACATGCCTGGCCAGGAGAGAGGTGACTGATAACATGCGACGGACATCAGAGGAGACTCTGTGGGTCCCAGAGTAAACACCAAATAAAGCTAGAAGGGGATGAGGTGTTACCCCAGCGACCACGGACAGAGTTTGAAAGACCTCCTGCCAAAACTTTCTAAGCTTGGGGCAGACCCAGAATGAATGGATCAGTGTGGCCTCGTCACTGCCACATTTATCACACTGAGGATTCACATCTGGGTAGATATGAGAGAGCTTGGCCTTGGACATGTGGGCCCTATGGACCACCTTGAACTGCAGTAGGGAGTGACGAGAGCAGAATGACGTGGCGTTGACAAGCCCTAGGATTGAGTCCCAGGTATCATCGGACAAACGCTGGTTCAGGTCTTGTTCCCAGGCTGCCCTGATCCTAGCTGTAGGTGCTTGGTTCAGATCTGTGAGCTTAGATTAGTTATAGGGTGGGGTATAGATAGAGGGTACGAGGCGCCTAAGAAGGCTTCCAGAGGGCTGTATTGAGATGAACTAACCTCCATGGTCAGCCAGGATGTAGAGCTGGTCTGACTACCATTTGCCCAGTACAACAAAGGCCAGATGTTAGATGCCTAATAGTACAATCGAAAATTGGGTAATGCTAGCCCACCGTTTAGCTTGGACTTCTGTAAGTGTGTTCTGGAAACCCGGAGGCGTTTACCTTTCCATATATAGGAACTAATTATAGAATCCAAAGTGTTGAAGAAGGACTTTGGGATGAAGACTGGAACTGATTGGAAGAGGTACAGAAATTTAGGGAGGATGTTCATTTTCACCGAGTTAACCCGCCCAATNTGCTGTTAGAGGTTAGTCCTCTTACTGACTCTTGTGTGTGTGTGTGTGTGTGTGTGTGTGTGTGTGTGTGTGTGCATGCAGGTGGAGGACCAGCCAATCTATGAGGACAACCTGTACATGTACCTGTACTACATTTGTTTCATCACCATCGGCTGCTTCTTCACCTTCAATGTCTTCATCAGATCCTTCATCTCCACACTGCAACAACAGAGACATAAGCTAGGTGTGCAGACAGAAAGACAGATACAGACAGCTGGATAGTTCGGAGGACAGCTTATGGATCTTTTCTTTTATTTGTCATGGTTGATTTGTTTGTCATGTTTCTGTCAGTTAAATCTTCACTTTCATCTTTACTTTGGAGGAAAACACATTTTCATGACGGAGCAGCAGCAGAAATATTCCAGGGCCATGAAGGCGGTCTTCTCTGAGAGTCCATACAAAGATGTTCCTCGTCCTCAGGTGGGTTCATGTTCCATCAAGTTGACCTGTGACAGTGTGATCCACTCCTCAGACTGGTGTTTCTCTGCAGTGTCTCTGTGTCAGAAGGTTTTAATGTAGCTCCATCGCAATTAATTTGGCTCAGTGATCACATCATTAATAAGCTGATGCTGCTGTACCTAAGGTCCTCTTGGTGGGCACCAGGGTAAAGGAGGTTGTAGGGTTAAGGACGCCTTTTGGGCTTGGTTGGTCTGGGGGTCTTCTGAAGCAGCAGACAGGTATATGAAATGAAATGAAAAATACTTTATTCATCCCAGAAGGGAAATTCAATCCTGTAAAAGCTCACCTTTCTTTTTTTTTTTTTTTTTTCTTTTCTTTTTCTAAAAAAAATCAATATAACATATATACAAGAATAATAATCATTCAGTCAGTTGGATTTGTTTTTTAAAGTGATGGCTGTTGGTAGGAAGGAATTCCTGTATCTCTGTTCTACAGTGAAGCTGAAGCAGCCTCCCACTAAACACACTCTGTTGGTTCTTCACTGTGTTGTGGAGAGGGTGGGAAGAATCCTCCATCATCTTCATCATCTTGTGCAGCATTCTTTTTTGAACAATCNAGAGTTTATTATCCCTTGATCCAATGTAGTACCCCCAGCCGAGTTGATCTCAGTTATTAACTGCTTTGCCTTGAAGCCCCGTAATTGATTAGCTAACAACTTTCCAGCCTTGTCTCCGTGTACATAAAAATTTACTTTACTTCTTAAAAGCTGTCGCTCTATTACATGAGTTGAGAGAAGGTCAAATTGGGTTTGGAGTTCAACGCGTCTTTTATATGTATCAGGATTTTTGGTGCAGGCATATAGGTGGTCTAGTTCTTTAATTTGCCGTGATAATTCCAATCTTTTCTTAGAGTTTCTCTTTTTCATGTTAGCTGTGTAAGAGATTATTTGGCCACGTATGTAAGCCTTCATGGTGTCCCAGATAGTCAGACTGGAAACATCCGGTGTGGAATTTGTTTCCCAAAAGAAAGCTATCTGATCTTTCATGAATTCCCAAAAAATTGGATCTGACAGCAGGGTTGCATTAAATCGCCAGCTCCGATCCACCTTCAGAGAGTCAGGCATGGTCAAGGTTAGTAACAGTGGAGCATGATCTGAAATAACAATGCTCCCATATTCACAGGAGGTGGCAGATGCAGCCAGCTGACCATCGAGGAAGAAGAGGTCTATTCGTGAAAACGAATGGTGTACCTGTGAAAAGAATGAATATTACCTCATATTTGGGTGAAGTAATCGCCAGATTTCTAGGATACCCAGTTCATCAGAGACAGATTGAATAAGTGAAGCAGATTTACTAAGGGGAGCTGGTTTAGAAGAAGAGCGATCTAAGACGGGATCCAACCAGCAGTTGAAGTCTCCCCCAAGAATAATTGAGTGTGAGCTCAGATGAGGCAGCTGAGAGAAAAATTCCTCAAAAAAACTTGGATTGTCTGTGTTAGGGCCATATAGATTGGCTAATATCACATTGGTGTTTAGCAGCTTTCCTGAGACAATTACAAAGCGGCCATGTTTGTCCGATATTAATTCGTGAGGCGTGAATGCTGTATTACGGTTGATAAGAATTGAGACCCCCCCTGGCCTTGGCCTCAAATGATGAATGAAAGTGCTGCCCTGCCCACCCTGCCATGAGCCTGGAATTATCAGAAGCACGAATGTGTGTCTCTTGAAGGAAAACAATTGATGCGTTTTCCTGTCTTATATGTGCAAACACTTTCCTTCGCTAAACGGGGTAATTAAGACCCTTGACATTCCAGCTGAGAATATTCAATGGATTACTCATTAAAGTTGGTTACAGAAAAAGGAGTTGGACAGATAGCTAGAATCTGCAGCCGCTGCCCAGGACTTTTACCAGAAGAGAAAAAGCGATTGCCAGAGCCAAGAGCAAAAAATAGAAAAATAAGGTCAGATTTGAGCCCCCCACCCAAAAAACAGAACAGCTGTCCGCGAACCAGACAGCAAGCTTCTCCCCAAAAAACTCTCTTACTCCCAAAACTACTCTTCCACATTCTAATACCCTAACAGGCTCCATTACTTCAATGAGTAGAAGAAAACAAAGCATTAAACACTCTAAATGAAAGAAACATGGCAGAACAACAATAATAATAAACAGAAATAAGCACAGAGAACCACACGGCCGTCCCTTGCCAGCTGAGGTAGAATTGTAAAGAAGAAATGCCTCCGAGGAAATGTAGCATTGAAGCTGCATCACAGTGAGAGACGGTGATATTAAGACTGAGCGCCTCTTACTGACTCATAGGCTTTTATAAACGTAGTCAAAACGTAAAGAACACGACAGTTTATCCTATGTAGATGGGCAGCACAGTCTTACGGTGAGCGAGGCGAGGATGGAAGGCTCTCGACAAACTTTCGTGCCTCCTCCACTGAGCGCAGCCACTTCTTCTCCCC